GCCCGTACCTTTGTGTACATTTTTCCACTACCCGCTCGGGTGTCAGCGCCGCAGGCCAAGGTAGATGTATGCCAGGCGCGTCGCAGCGTAACAGTGTTTCGTGAGGTATCGCGAAGCCTGTTACGCGAGACGTGGTCTGGCGTACATCTACCTTGTTTTAATTTATAAGAAAACATTTTGTTTTGCTTTGTCATACATAATGCCACAGTGATTACCATTTAGCACCTGACCCTGGAACTCTCATTCACTAAGTTAAGTTCGAGGGGGGGCTCACTTCGAAAAATCATTGTACAGCCCAAAAAAAATCATTTAAAAAATCAAAAAAAAATCAAAAAAATCAAATTAAAATCAAGTGGAAAGTTGCATAAAAATCCGAAAAATCGAGAAAACGACCTCAAAACTGAGAAAAATGGACACAAAACAAGAAAAAGCACGAAGTTTTTGTAAATTAAACTGTTATTGTCTTTTTCATAACTGAAAAATCAAAAGAAAAATCAAAATCAAAAATCAAAAAAATCAAAAATAATCAAAAGTCAAAAAATCATTGTACACATTTTGTTTGAGTGAGCACCCCCTCGGTTAAGTTCTTATGAAAATGACTTGGCCAGGAAAGGGTTGTTGTAAATGTAGGTAATCCTATAAAATACATTTATACAATATTACTAGAGAACTCATTACTACATCCCCATGTCAGGGAAGGAATGGAAAAAAAAACCATGCCGGCTAAAAGTACAGCTGTTGATTTTAGTTAGTCGAAATAATTCTGATCCTTCTTTTCATTTTTAACTGTGGCCCCTACTAGCTTCTTACAACTAGAGGATCTATGACATCTCACATTTTACTCTTATTCATTGACTGAGAATTTTGAGATCTTGTTATATATACATGTATTATTTTCTATTTATTTTTTGCATTGAATAGATTCCTCATTCGACTTACATCACTTAATGGCTAGTATAAAACCTTTGTAATTCAGGGGGAATTACAAAATCCAACTGATTTAAAATCCAATTAATATATTCTTATGCACTGACAGTACATCATAAATATGTTGACATATGAAAGAGTTTCTAATGGGGTGAATTACATTAACTCATGACATGGCCATATCTAAAAAGATTTGTAAGCAAGGAATGGCTTGTAAAAGCTGTTTGGACAGTACATACAATTCAGTAAATACATGAATACTTGGAATTACTCATCACTTCACAAATACACATTTAAAAGGAAAAATAACAGCATACTTCAACAGGGGCAAAAATATTCTGGGATGATAGGAGTAGTACAAAATCAAGGTGACAATTTACAGATGGGAACATTACAAATGCCACGCAAACTGATGAAATTGAAAGCATCATTGTACTAGAGCAAGGGCAAAATTGTTTCAATGCCTTTGATTAGCATAATTGATGAGGTACTGCAATTCTTGCCTACCCCTCTCAAAAACATTCATATCCATGGGAAGATCTTCAACCTCGGGGAGTACGTACACATCATCTTCTATAAGAGGATCAGGATTGGGAACTCTTCTTCTGTTGCAAAAGTTGTGTAAGACACAGCAAGCATTCACCATCATACCTGCATAGGTGGCATCTCTATAGTTGATACAGCGATCACAGCAGAGTAACCTCCACCTAGCCTTCAAAATGCCTATACACCTTTCCACAACATTTCGGCAGCGGCAGTGCAATTGTGTGTATATAAACTCTGGGGTGCCTGGTTCTGCATGGGGAAGAGGCACGTGAAGCCAGGGTGCTGTGAAGTACCCATTATCTCCTACAGACAAAGGGAGTACATGGTCAAAATAAATAAATTATTTGTAAGGTTTGTTTCTACTGACTGACCCAAAATATGAGGTATTACCTAACAACCAACACCTGTCTTCCCAATATGCCTGCTCCACAACATTTCTAGCCGCAGAAGCTTCCCAAATCAAATTGTCTGTCAGTGATCCAGGCCATCTGGCATCTACATTTAGAATGTTTAGGTCTGCGTCACAGATCTGAAAATAAAAGGTAACATTTTTAAAGATTCAACTTACTTTTGATTTAAAGCAAACTTTGTAATACAGCCAAAATTGGAGTTGCTCAAAAAGGTTCCCTTAAGGTACTTTTAGTACAATCCTTCACATACTACTTATGACTTCAGAAGGTCCTACTGGTAATTAAGTGTGTTGTGCTTCGTTAAGGGAAGTTTTATTATTTGAATTGTTTTTCTGCAAAAGTATGGATAAAATTATTCTGTTGTCCCTTTTTAAAAGGCCATGGTGAAAGTGGTATACCACTACTATAGTAGTTGAAATTGATTCTCCATAAATCACATACTTAATAAATAACTATATATTGTAGGTATGGAGCAATCTTCATAGTCCTAGACACCTTGGCAAAGAGATAGCTTCATTGATAAACTAAAAAGTTTGCATGCAGCATTTCTCTGGCATAATTGTTGGACTTAAACTCTTCCATAAGGTATTTCTGAATCAGAATCATGAGAACTAGTTGAACACAGGGGTTTTGTTATTATTAGGAAGAGTTTTAATTAACACAACACCACTATAATTTTTCCAAAAAGAAAATGACCGTGATTTTTGTTCTGAAAAATAGTGCTAAGGGGATAATCAGAACTATTTTTATTCCCATCTTGACTTTGAGAGAATTTTATCCATACTTTTGCAGAAAATCAATTTAAAAACTTTGGACCCTCCTTTTCTCTGGTTGTCATTGCGAAACATTGTTTAAATGTTTGTCTTTAGTAGTTTTTGTCCAAGTCAGACTTTTATTTTTTCTGCAACCATCGAGTTAGGCTAATTTTTTTAATATATGGTACTTTCATGCAAACTCAGTTATTTTTTATGTTTCATTTGTAGTGATTGTTACCTGTGGTTTTATTTTGTCAGTTCAATAAAAAGGGATTTCACATCCCTAGTGATTCATATCTTAGCCTGTTACTTGGAAAAATCCCTACTATCTACATCAGTTTAAGGGGGTCAGTTGGTAAAAAAGAGGTTGAGCGTTTTTAAAATATTCCAAAAA